CAACCCCCCCCCCCCCCAAAAAAAAAAAAAGACTTGTTTGAAAGATTTTCCTTTAGAAAAAATGCAACCCTACAAAACTACCTATACCATACGTCCGGATGTACGGCGTTTCTCGTACAGCCGCATGAATATTTATTTTCGAGTAACTGAATACTCATTTTCGAGTAACGTAATACATATTTTCGAGTAACTGAATACTCAGTTTCGAGCATAACTAAATTTTGAAAAAATGAGTATTCAATTACTCAAAAACGAGTATTCAATTGATTGAAAATATGTATTCACTTACATTGTAAATGAGAGTATTCACCGCTGATGTACGGGAAACATTGTACAACCGGTTGTAACACATATATTGGTGCAAATCATAATAATCCCAACCCGAAATCAATTCCCCGCAAACTCAAAGGATGAAAAGAGGCACATGAGTTGAACAAATGAAGAAGAAAGTAGTGACCATAACAAAGACCAAGGTCCTCAAATTTCTTCAGGCATTTCAAAACATTGAACTAATGAAGATAAGACATTATCCCCACCTATTGGCTCTAAAACTACCCCAATAACCGGTGCATCCATGGGAGTAGAATGCTTATATATACTTCGTACTTATTAGGTTAACAAGGCTGAAATTAAATGTTTTGAATTCAATTTCTGACACAAATAACTTGAATTTACAGTGTTAGTTCTACCAGTAGCCAAATATTCTGCATAACAAGCTAGAATCCATACACAGATGATGAAGAAGGAGAGCAGCAAACCTTGGGACCCCAGATGGCGTCGCGGGAAGCGACTCCATTCCAACCACGGCAGACAAGGAGAGATAGTGCAACGCTGCGTGCGTCGAGGTAACTCAGAATCGCCAGCATGATGTCCGTATCGAATACCGAGAGCGGATCCATCGGATTCGAAGGAAACCCGGCTCCGGTTTCACAGATTTCCTCGCTTTCTTCTTGGCCCTCCTCTTCACTGTGCTTGGACTTGAATCCGCCGCGTCCCCCGCGCAAACGAAAACCACACAATTAACAGTATTTTAAAACATTTCAAATTAAAAATTCAACATTTAAAAATAATTTAAATATTTATCTAGATGTTTTGAAATTAACAATTCAACATTTAAAAATAATTTTTCTCACATTATCCTATGGTTTGAAAAATTGACATCAATATTTTTTATGTTTTTAAAACGTATTCCTAAAGTCTTTGTAATTTCAAAATATTGCACTCACACCTCATATGATCAATTTTTGGTCATTTTTCAGTAAAGAGGGCATTGGTGTCTAATTTCTAAACCATAGGTGGAATTCGTGTTCTTTTTCTTAAGTTTCGTTATTTTTTTTTCTTTTTTAACTATTTTTATCTCTTTGTTTCCTTTTTCTAGAAATTTTTTTAATTTTTTTAGTTTTTAATAATGTTTTAAAAATTAAAAATTATTGGTGTTTGAAATTAAAAAACATATACTCTATCTATTTGAAATTAAACATTTTCAATTTTTATCTTCTAGACTAATTTTTTTGGTAAGTTCAAAAAGATAATCCACAATAAAAAGTAAAAGTATCCAAAAACAAAATGAAAAAATTAAATCATGCAAAAATAGTCTTATATAAAAAAGAATTTTAAGAGCGCCTAAAAAATTATCAGAATTGGGATGTACAAAAAGGATATTCATTTTTATCTTTTGTTTTATTTTATTTGTTATTTTATTCCTTATTTTTAAAGTTCTGAAAAAAAGTTTTTACTTTTTATTTCCGAAATCAAAAAATAAAAAGTTATTAATTTGAGACGTTTAGATGCAGTATATGTTAATATTTTTTTAAAACGAAAATAATTCTAAATTTTAAGAAATTTATTAATTTTAAAAAGAAATTTAGGAAACCTTGATTAATAAATACTCCCTCCGTCCGGGAAAAATCTTCCTAGTTTGACTTTTGGTCATTTTTAGTGAGTCTTGACTTTGATATTAAAATGTCTAAAATACCCCCATATCTTTTGGTTAAGCTCCAACCAGTATCATACCAAAACACCTCAGCCCACTGCCGTCCACCCCACCACTATCCAGCCCACCGCCGCCCCACTTTGTTTTGGAATTTCTGCCCAGCCCACCGCCGCCCCAGCCCACCGCTGTCCCAGCCACCAC